ATAATAGTACAAATAATAATACTAACTAACCAAGCACGTAGAAGACAGAAGGCCAGCCTCCATCAAAGCCATTCTCACACAAGGCAGCGGCTATCGGAAAGGTCAAAACGTTGCCTATCTGAGCTCCTGAAATAAAATAAAAACAACAACGAAACAATGTCGAGGAAATGTCATGGTGTGGTTAGCGTTGTATGACATGGGCCAAATGTCATGATACTTCTGTCTAACGTGTCATGGTTTAAAATAAATGTTGCTTCCTTTCGTCCAGAACCGTGCAGAATTTGATTGTGAATTCTTGCAATGGTCACGACCGTGGAAATTCAATTTCACTCAACCAGAGATAATATTAGCTTTTTTCAAATAAAATGTAAAAAAATTAGTATAGCATTATTTGAATTTTGTTTTAATACCATTAAAGTTAATCCGATATTTTAAAACTCGAAAATATCACCCAATGTTATCAAAATAATAATGGCAGACACTTAACGATAATTTCCACTTGCTATTGCGAAAACTTATCACAATTCCGTATTTTAACGGGATCTTAAATGTACAAGTATCTGTGTAATGACGTTTACGTTTCTTACACCATCACAAGTTTCTAGAAGTATCTATCTGCTATTTATTATACGCCCACCTTACCCATTTTCGTGCCCCTAAAACTACAATTATCTTTTCTATAAACTTAAGCTTAAATCACCACAACTAAATAATCACTCAGTGAAGCATTATTGTCAGTAAAGGAGTTCATTGACGGCGAATTTCTAAGGCTACAGAAATACGTTAGATGGTATGTGTTTTTTAATTGTTCATTGTTAGGCCTACACTACCACTTTTCGTGCACCTAAACTAAAATTTAAAAAATCTCTAAAAATTGTAAAAGCGTAATCTTAAATTAACAACAAAATCTCTATATATCATTATAAATTAAATCTCTTCGTTTCTTTGGCGTTACGGTCAGCCTAGCTCATTCTTATATAGAAAATATCATAGGAAATATTGACAGAGGCTATAAAAAGTTTGTGGTCATTTTAATTTTTTTTAAAATTCCATGCTACCATTGTTCAGTTACCAAGATTACCAAACCAAAAAACAAACAAACAAAAAAGCTAAGCTATTTTTACCAACGTATAATAGTCAGAATGTCTTATAATTAATCAGAATGTAATTAAATTAGTCAGACTTCTTACAGTTAGCAAGAATGTCATAACATTAGTTAGAATGTCGGATTGGCTTTCCATGAGTAAGTCAATCTTACTTTATGTATGTCAGGGGGTCTCAAACCTCGGGGCCACAGCGCACATACATACGTTGATAATTCGCGTGCCTCACTTGTTCGAATTCTGACTCACCTGCATAACATAAGCTACAAAGCATCCCTCTTTCTAGTGGCGGGGCCCACGTGGCCCACAAAACAGCCATGGCGGGCCAGACAACACCCTGGTAAAATTGAAAAACCAAGTGATGTGGGCAAAGTTACCTCCTAAAAATGTTAATTTTAAAAAAAAAACGTATTGGGAGAAGCCATTTTCTGGAAACCTGATCAAATAAATCTTGATTCAAGTGCCTTATTAAAATAAACTATAATTACCAAACATATCAGCGATAAATATAATTATCTCCTATTCATCATCTAAAAGAAACCCTTGACAGACGCTGGACAGGGGTTTGCTACGAACAACCCACCTGACAGATGCCGGCTATAATCCGTGTGACTATCAGAGCGACGTAGTGCAATCTAGCAGCCACCGGCATCAGGAGCGTCACCACGGCACACACAAACATGAACCAGCCGAACACGTGCTTACCACCAAACCTGGCCAACGGATATGACGTCAAAAAATTAATTTTTTTTAAAACCAAAACCAAAAAGTAAATAATAAATTCTTATAATAAATTGCGAATTGGCAAAGCCAAAAGGAATGAGTAAGAACATCTCTGAAAGTTAAGACTCTCAGATTAAGGACTATTTAATTCTCATCTGATCAATTCAATAAACCACTAGATTATTAAAAGAGTACCGTAATTTCAAGTTTCAAATTTTTCGAATTTGGGATGCAATATCGGCATGTTGTTTGCAGCCATTCTCGTTAATTACTCGTATTTTGTATTATTACTTTATTATTTTTTTTTTATGTTGGGAAGGGGGCGCGAAGTGAGAAACGCTATTTCAACTTTTCGCCCCCCCCCCCCCCGTCATGGCCCAGCAATGTTTCACATTAATTGCGTTTTCGGTTGAAGGCAATACCTGATCCCTTACAGACGTGTACATGACAATGCATATTGTCGACTATTTGAATCACTTACCTCTGAGACAGCCATCCTCCCATGACCTGGGTTGTCAGGTAGCCCCAAAAGAAAGAGCCCAACACGAGACCTTGTATTTCTTTGGGCCACGCAAACTCACCATCCTGGGGAAAAAAAAACATCATTTATAAAAAAAACACCTTTTTTTTAATACTTTTTTAGAATAAAAAAAAAAAATTTCATTTAAAATAATGCTATTAATAATATTGTGGTTAAATATTATGTTTTCCTGAGTAAACATAATATGGAATCTACATTTTTTTCTTTTAAAGAAATAATTTTACATACTCATAACTCTTCCAGTCATCATTCTAAATGCCATATTTGTTGTTTTTTAATCTTACGATATGATATTTTTTCTACTGCCGTAGTCTACATGCTATACCCACAGTACGATATTTGTAAACTGCCATAGCCTACATGCTATAAGTACAATATGATATTTTTTAAAACTGTCCCATTCTACAAACTATACGAGCTTCATATAAAAAACTCAAGCCTTAAATCTAGCGTATTTAAATCATGCTATCCAAATTCTTTGATGGAAATAGATCATAGCAAATTGAGCAAACCTGTTTGATTGAAATGCGTTCTATGAAACATTGCATACGTTCACATACTATTTAAGTAATTTAGTGACATTCCTATAGACATAATGTCAGAGTATCACATCATATTTAACAGCAGTCCAATATTTGTTATTTAACAACTTGCCAAAATTCTTCTCTCGGCTCCCAAGTATTCAATTTTCTACCTTAGACAGTGGCGTAGCAAGGGGAGGGGGTCTGAATTTGAAAGTCCCCCGGGCCCCTACTTGAGGGGAGCCCCCCCCCCCCTCCCAAAGGAGTGTCCGAATTTTTTTTTACATTAAATAATGTCGAATGTCAAAATGCAGGGGCCCCTAAAGAGGCCAAGCCCCCCGGGCCCCCAAATCCCTAACTACACCACTGACCTTAGACTCCACTTTTGCTGGATTATTTCCTTACCTCTTTATGAGACGGATCGCTCGAACTAGCATTGACCACGATGCCCTCCCCGCGACAAGTGCTGGGACGTAACGGGATCTTGGAGACGTTGAAGACATCACGGCCTTGGATGTCCCTGAGTTCCGCGAGCGCCGTCTGGTTGATCATGCAGACCATCGCCACGCTCATGTTGACCCGAAGGGCGTACACATTAATGAACCCCAGGCATGATATGATGGACAGGGCCAGACGGCTTGAGCACAGAAGAGGAGCTTTTTCTGGGGAAAAAATATTCTTTTGAGCAGTGGCAGATGAAGGCGTCAGGAGGTCCCCGTGGTAAAATACAAAAGATCGTCTTAAAGTATAACGTTTGTGCTCCAGGGATTTCAACTCGTGGTCACCACGTTCAGACGTTCAATGATTTCCCTGCGGTCATTAAAGAAATTGATGGCACTGATGATTTTAGAGCCTTTCGTCCAAAGAGGATAGTTTTTAGATAAAGGAATGTTGTCTCAAACTCAAAGCAGGGTGGCAGTTTTTGCTCCGAGTTTTAAACAACATATCTTTATTTATTTTTATTTTTTTTGGTTACATTGCATTTAATATAAAAGCGACATGGCGTAAATTTGGCACAACACACCCTTTGAACACAGAGCTAGGTGTGGCGTTCATAGTTTCGAAAATGAGAAGCACTTTCCGAAATAAACTTTAAAGAGGTGTAAAAAAAAGTTAATATATTCCGTTGATGAATAATTAATGCTCATTTCTAAAAATGTCTCTTTAACACAATGAAGGAGTTAAATTATAAAATACATTTTAATGACCAATGAGGTCATTTTTTTTCTTCTCATTTCACATTTAAGGAAATATTTTGACACTGATTTCACGAAATAAAATTCCGGATAACTGTGCTCAATGATATTCTTTCTTAAAAATATATCCCTAGTGCGTTTGGTGCGTTACAGTTCCTTTTGTTTTTCTGAAATAGTTAGTGAAATAAATCTGCGGTGTAAAAGCGAATGGTTCATTATGATATGCATCTAAAATAAAACAATGACAAATGCATATAAAATATTGATAAGAAAAACTCTGTTTTGGGGGTTGTTCAATATTCGCACCTATCATACTGAACTTCTTTCGTGGATGTCTACAAAGAACATTGGGACCATTTTCCAAAACCGAGTTAATTTGTTTCACAATTAGCGGGCACAGTCGTCTGTGAAATGTCAGTGGACTTTTCTAAATGTCAACACCAGTCTAAAGGACAATGATGTTATCTTGTCAATTGTTTACACAAGTGTCACTAAACAGGGAGAAAGGGTTAAATAGTTAATTAATGTGATCACGAAATCGTGTGTATCAATTAATTCTGCCACGCAAGCCAGTCGTTTCTAATCAAAGAACATTACATTACCCTTGTGTATAGTGTAAAAATCCAACATTGCATAACAAATGTGTAATGTATAGAGTGGTAGAGACATTCATCATTACTTTACCAGTGTGTATAATATAGAAATCTAACACACATAACCAGGGTGTTATTTAGAGGTCTAACATTACCTTACCAGTGGGTTATAGACATCCAACCTTCCATTACCAGTGTGTTTAGTATAGACATCCAACATTACATAACGGTTTTGTTGGAAGAATATTTTATCTTAGACGCAAACCAGTGTGAATAATAACTGCATAGATGGCAAATACCACCCCTGCATGATTCTAACTTCATCTCATCGCAAACAGAACAGTAAAGCTCGAACTTAACACATTTCACTTTATTATTAGCTCAAACGACACCTGTGCATTAAGCCTGAGACCAAAAATATTTCATGAAACACATCTCATCAACAATCAACAAAGCCCACCAAGGCTTAACACAAAATTGGATCTCACAAAAAAACAACAACTCATCTCATATCACTAACTTTAGCTTAGTGACACATTGCATCATACACCATCATACCTTACCTACACATCTCATCATACATCATCATACAAAACATACACATCTCATCATACACCATCGTACCATACCTACACATCTCATGCACCATAATACCATACCTACACATCTCACCATACACTAACATACCTGTCACAAATAGACATCATCAATCCCAATATACTTACATGACCCATGTCACCTTAAATAATATTCCTCTTCCTAACATTTGTGATTATCAAATTTTAAATTAAGTATACCGATATTTTAGACAAAATTAACGTAGACTACTTATTACTACAAATAATATGGGTACATATCATAATGACTTTATTGAAATATACAATGATTTAACTTAACCCTGGGAACATTATCCCAGAGATGGATGTTGATGTACTGGGTGGTCGAGTGGTGCAAACTGAGTCAATCCCAAGGTTGTGGTATAGAGTTCAATTCTCACCAAAGACCAGGTCAATGAAAAAGATCACCAGCACCCCGGGTGGATGGGACTCGCTAAACTTGGATGGCAACTATCAAACTACCTAAGAGAAGGAAACTCTAAATCAAAACCAGGAGATGGAGTCCCGTAACCGGATACATTAACACATTGAAAAATTCTGATAACTGGTGCCAAGCTGTATCATCCATATATGGTGTTCCTTTTGGGTTATCCAGGTTATTTAGGTGCGTGGAGAGAGGCGATTTGCTGTCCAGGGACCAACTTATAATCCTAAATTTTAAAAAAAAAACGGACCTTCGTAAGTCTACACCATCGTCACACTGTAACGGACCGATGCCATTCATGTTGATGTACTAATGCACGGCTTCCTCCTAGTGCGGCACCCGTAAAGATAGAAACCGGTCAAACCTGATCACCTGATTAACAACAATCAAACAACAAACAAAACAATCCCCACCTACCAAACAATTTCTGTGTAAAAACAAATGACCTCACACACTCTCTTTTTGAATACGTATACATCTCACCCACAAGTTAGCACACCTTATCTCAAACCCTCTTCAAAATCTCTTCCCAACATCATACTTTTCTATTTTCTTAGCTCTCTGCCCACTGTCTCCCCCCCCCCACTGTCTTCCCCCTGCCCCCTGTCTGACAACTGCCCACTGTCTCACCTCAGACGACTATCTCACCGCTGCCCATTGCCTCTACACTGACCACTGTCTCACCTCTGTCCAGTGTCTCTCCATTTTCCTTGGAAGCAGACTGAGAACCGTCCGGCGTGGTCCCATAAGACTTCGTGTGTCCATGTGTCCCGTTGCTGCTCAGCCGCTCATCGCTGACGTAACTTTTGTTGTCCATCCTCTGGCTTACCCCAGCACGTAGTTGCGTCTCACTGTTGTAGTAGTGATGTTCATGGCATGGCAGAGATCAGTGATTTGGTCGTCATAGACTCTAATGGCGTTATCTTTGTTTCTGAAATCAGGGTTAAATAATAACTTAAATGATTATAATAATAAAATTAATCACTTTATGCGCTTAGCACACTTAAGTGTATTGTCTTATAAAATATATTTTTTTTTAAAGTGCACATCTTGCCTGTAAAAAGGAACAGTTATAAACAAAACTTTTTTAACAATGCACAATTTTTAGTGTTCTTCTAACTATCACCCTCCCCCTCCCCCTAAGCCGATAATGTAATGTTTAAAAAATAAAAAATAAAATTTATCTGATGATTTTTTTACTAGACATGTGTAATGAATATCCATGGGGCAGCGTTAAAATATAGTTTTTTTTCACTATGAAAAACATACCTGTGATAATGAACTGGCACTTCCACTCAGCGAGCCTGTGTTGTTAACAAGTGGACACCCAAATAGGTCAACCGGACGTCACAAAAAGAAACATCAACACCTGGTCTTGACCTTTAGATCCTACAGCCACCCAAATGCCGGTCTGTTTAATTAGTCATGTTACCGTTTCCCTTTAAATACTCGCTGGCTTAACCTGCATCAAGTGAACCTTTCTCCAGCTCGCTGCTGGTCCAAGGCTCCACTCTTAACTGATGACATAATTGCCTGCACTCGATTCTTATGGCTTCAACCGCTGCAGGTGCTGACTAATGAATATAATAATTGTAACGTATAATTTACATGGCAAGTTCTCCCATAAATAGTTCATTGTATGTGTGTTGGCCTGGTTGCAACAATGCATGTAGCATCTTGCATTGTAACGTAATAGTTCGTGTATAGCTTTGGCTATTATAAGGAAAAAACATTGTGGAACCTCCTGCACATATTTGGAACTTGGAAACTGATTTCATAGCATTTGAGGAAAATCACAGAGACTTAAAGAAACTTAAGAAACATGAAAAGGACATCTCAAACACTGCCTTGTCACGAACTGATGTCAGTTTAAAAAATCTAGACCAACTTATTTCTTTGGCATTCAAGAAGCTTAAACTGAATATACCACTTGTAATATTTGAAAGAAAAAAGTGAAATCTTCTATGGACTGAGATTGTTCCGTGTGTAACAAATGATGCTTTTGAGACATTGCCATGCGTATAAAATGCACCCACCCACTCATGAACGTAGTTTTGGGGGTTAAGCTGCAGCAAACTTACTCACACATCTACTTTTTGAAGTTGGTAAATATGAATCAAAGAAACCCTACGACCATAAACTTCTACGTACCCAAAACAGCCTTTATGCACGCCCATGAACTATGTGATCATTATCTCTTAGATATATTACGATTGTGGTGTCACTGCTTCCATAGTGCGCAAAATATAATTCCCGACAACTAAGCTAATTTTGTTTTTGAAATAACGCAAATGTGTTTGGTGCGTAATCTTTTCTTTTCTTTTCGATATATGAAATCGTCTTAATATAAATATGGTGTAATAAATCTTTCGTTTAAAAGTGGTTGGGACATCAGAATATGAATATAGTTCATGAGCGTGACATAAAAAGTGTGCAATGACGTATCACGGAGGGAAGAGGTGTGGCAAATACTGGGATTCTCAGATGTGCGTTACTTGTCAAGTCACTTTAGTAGATGGGAAGATCACGCATTTCACTCAACATTGTATGGCGAGCTACAACTAGTCATGTAATATTTTTTGAAAGCCCTTAAAAATGGTTTAGTTTGTGTGCGTGCACCCAACAAAACGCACCTACAAGCACCGATCTGAACAAAGGTTTATTACCAAATGCGTGCACCCAACATAACTTAACTTGAACGTTCCTGGAAGCAACTTTAAACGAAAAAACTTTTTTTACTTTTTACATTTTACGTTTTTTTGTTTTTTTAAATTACAGATTTTAGGATAAGGGGATTATAACCAAACTTTCCAGGAAGCATCTGTAGATCAGGCGGAATGATCATGTCAAATTTCGTGGCGATCCATCGTTTGATTTTCTTGTGATTTACAAACATGGTGGTACCGCGCTGGATATAGTTAGCTTCCTTTTAAATGTGCATTTTTTTGTTACGTTAACTACGAGAGGCAAAATCAAGTAGCACCCCGGTGTGAATAACGTGTTACTCCATTGCACTTCCTCCTCTCTCTTCCCACTATCCTGAAAGTCGGAACGCCTCGGACTCCACTTGCCCTTCTCTTCCTCCTACTTACCACCGCTTTATCTCTCTTAACCCTTTAGAAATGGCGGATACAAATACGCCGATAGAGATGAATTTTTAATCTTAACTCTTCATGTGATCCATTGTGTACGCATTCAGTTATTTTTTTTATACGTCTAAGCCCTGGCTGTGTCCTAGTGTATACTTACAGTGATAAAGCTAGGGTTACTGACAACCGGTGCTAGAAAAGCTTTCTGCCGTCACTTCCACGACAACAACTCTTCAGTTGGCCTAAAATGCCTCCTCCATTTAAAGAAAAAAAAAAACCCGTGTGCCCCCTACGCCCCAAACCCCCCCCCCTATTTCTACGTCAATGTATACTTTGGTGATTCTAAGCGAAGTGGGAATTAGGTCAGACCAAATTCATGTTGTCCAAATGTCTTCGGTATTTAAAACGTTTAACTAGACGCGTCAAATGTTCTAGAAAATGACTGGATTACACACTTTGCCTGTAACACACACACACACACTATGTGTACCTGATTCATTGCATAAAAGATCCCATATGTCATAACAAACTAAAACATGTTGGTAATGCTGAGTTGGATGCACTAGAAAAAGGCCTTACTAACATCAGCGTCATTTTGGATCTCACTGTTGACATTTATTTCCCCGACAACGAATTGCTAAAAAAAACATCAACTAATTCCACTTAGCTGTATAGCTGTCCATCAAATGGTCTAGCAGTTATATAGGCAACAATTATGCTAGCAGTTGTATATACTTCGGTTGATGCAGTTCATCTAACCTCAAGTTAACATTGACTTAATGATTCAATTCATGCAACCCTAATATGTTAACTATAATTATACAAGATGGAGTAGAGTAACAACTAACTCCGCATTTACATCAGTAAGCGGGACGTAATGTTCAAGGAACTTCAAAATTCTAGTCAATACCATCGCACGCTAAGTCAATAAATTGATTCCAACTTTTTTTATCTCAAACTAAACGCTCAAATATTTGCCCATCACACAGCGAAATCTTGGCGTCACCGCAAAGCAAAGGAGCGAGCAAGAAGGAGCGACCGCAACAATTATAGCAGAACAGACTTATCTAAGCTCTTCAGAAGTCTACTGTGTCAATCTGAGCCATTCTCTCTGCTCTTAACTGATTGACATTTAAAGTCTTCCTTTTTTTAAAGAAAAGGTTTGCCGAGATTTTACGGCTGGTGTAGGACTTTTTTTAATGGACTTTTTTTTTCGGTTATTTTTCTGCTTTGAGTTAAGACAGCCCAGTTTATTTAAGACTGTTGATTTTTGTTTTGTTAGAATCCTAACTTTCTTTTGATAGCACTGTTAATATATTTTTTTAGAAATCTTAAATCTTTTGATAGCATTGTTTATATATTTTTTTAGAAATCTTAAATCTTTTGATAGCATTGTTAATATATTTTTTTAGAAATCTTAAATCTTTTGATAGCATTGTTAATATATTTTTTTAGAAATCTTAAATCTTTTGATAGCATTGTTAATATATTTTTTTAGAAATCTTAAATCTTTTGATAGCATTGTTAATATATTTTTTTAGAAATCTTAAATCTTTTGATAGCATTGTTAATATATTTTTTTAGAAATCTTAAATCTTTTGATAGCATTGTTAATATATTTTTTTAGAAATCTTAAATCTTTTAATAGCATTGTTAATATATTTTTTTAGAAATCTTAAATCTTTTAATAGCATTGTTAATATATTTTTTTAGAAATCTTAAATCTTTTGATAGCATTGTTAAGATATTTTTTTTAGAATCTTAAATCTTTTGATAGCATTGTTAACATATTTTCTTAGAAATCTTAAATCTTTTGTAAGCATCCGTCTCATGTTTTGTTAGCACCTTTTAACATCTTTCGTTAACATCTTTTGTTAAGACTCTTTTAGCATCCTTAACATCTTTTGTTAAAATCTTCTTTTAGCACCCTTATAACATATTTTGTTAACATTCTTTTAGCATCCTTAAAATCTTTTGTTAACATTCTTTTAGCATCCTTATCATCTTTTGTTAACATCTTTTGTAAGCATTCTTAGCATCTTTTTAGCATCCGTCTCATCTTTTGTTATCATTTGTAACATTTTTTTGTTATCATCTGTCACATCTTTTGTTAGCTTCTGTCTCATCTATTGTTAGCATCTGTCTCGTGTTTTGTTAGCATCTGTCTCGTGTTTTGTTAGCATCTGTAACATTTTTTTGTTAGCGTCCGTAACATTTTTGTTATCATTTATCACATCTTTTGTTAGTATCTGTCTCATCGCTTGTTGTCATCTTTAACATTTCTGTTAGCGTCTTTAACATTTTTTGTTAGCATCTGTAACATTTTTGTTAGCATCTGTCACCTCTTTTGTTAGCATCTGTCAAATCTTTTATTAGCATCTGTCACATCTTTTGTTAGCATCTGTCACATCTTGTGTTAGCATCTGTCACATCTTTTATTAGCATCTGTCACATCTTTTGTTAGCATCTGTCACATCTTTTGTTAGCATCTGTCACATCTTTTGTTAGCATCTGTCACATCTTTTGTTAGCATCTGTCACATCTTTTGTTAGCATCTGTCACATCTTTTGTTAGCATCCCTCCTAACGTTTGTTAACATCCATCTCATATAGTTTGAACATCCGTCTCATCCTTATAAGCATCTGTTTAGACCGGGGTTAGCCGTTTCCTTATAATTTTCCAAAAAGGGATGCATTATAATCCCTCTCAAACCCCCCCCCCCCCCTGACCGTGTCCTCACACAGGATCCTCTTCCTGACTCAACTACTTTAAATAACTACCCCTGCAATACATTTTAAAGTTGTATTCCCCCCCCCCTTCCCTCCGGCACACACACTCGCAGGGACGTTTTTTTTTATAATATCTTCCCTCCATTACATCGTAGAGCTCTCTCCCAATTGCACTGCTTATATGCAAATATTCATTGTCATTGTCCCCAGCTGTCGAGATCCAAATGTACTTTTACCTACCCCGCCATCAGGACGTGGCTGTTAAATTAATCAAAGTGTGTTATATATATATAAATATATTCAGAGATCTTAAAGTATGTCCTTCTGATCACATTTTGGATTCGCATATCAAACAGTTTCGTGAAATTATTATGTTTCTATTTCAAGGTCAGTGTAGATATTCCATTTGGCCTTGATCCCCCCCATATGATCATTAAAGAATGATGTAGAGTTTGAGAACTGATCACATTAAACGTTTAGACATTGTGCCAACATTTCCCCAGTTTTGACATTTTCATCACGGTCATGAAGTTTATAAGTTTATTCCCAAAAAAAGAAATTAAACTTACTATAGTCTTAACACAAATCAATGAATTTTCGCGAGCTGGTTAGGTCACAAATTTTGGAAAGGTGTTTGTGTGTGTGTGTGGGGGGGGGGGTAGGTTTTAGAGGGGTAGCATTTTTTTTTTACCAAATGAGTTGTTTTTGTTTTTTTAACGTGGAGTGGGGGGGGGGGTTAATTCTTTAAACCCCTGCCGACTCTAACCATCTCTACTCTACTTTTCCCATTACAGATTGTTTGTTAAAAAATTAGAGGGGTAGCATTTTTTTTTTACCAAATGAGTTGTTTTTGTTTTTTTAACGTGGAGTGGGGGGGGGGGGTTAATTCTTTAAACCCCAGGCGACACTAACCATCTCTACTCTACTGTTCCCAATACAGATTGTTTGTTAAAAAGTATCAACATGTAAAATAAGTTAAATGTCATTTACATCTTAAATAAATGGCGTTTACGCTACTGATCAAGAGTGCTTACTATTTTAGTATTTTCCAGCAATCTTCATCTCATGGTTGCCCAATAAGTGAAAAAATGATGGCTGCTGTTGAGATACAGGACTTTGAGGATTTATACTCTTATTAATATGAGTATTACATATCGTCATGAGTACATATGGCTCCTATATTTACCAGTCAATAAACTTATGATACATTTTGAATAAATGTTTTGTGGTAACTTACAAAGAGGTCACTTACTTATTCTTTAGATTCCCAAATTGAACTTTTTGGTGTTTTCATGCCGGAATTTTAGTTCTCAACACGGCTGTTGTGCAGCGTGAACCAACACAGCGTGACGAGACGTTAGTCATTATATATAATAGGTTGTGCGGTGGGGCTGAAAGAAGGGGGCTTATGGGAAGTTTTAGACAACTTCTTGCTAACACATCCTCGATAGAGAGAGATTGTTGATAAGTGTTGAGTCCTGTATATCAAGGATTCTTAACCAGGGGTACCCACGTGCCCTGGGAGTGCTGGAGGCAGTGTCAAAGGGTGCATGAAGACCCCAAAAAAATCAGTCTTAATTGCAATTAGCGGCAAATGTTAAGAAATCGGGGGGGGGGGGGGGGGGGGTCACTCTGCAAAAATGGTTAAGAACCTTGAATACCAGAGCCATGTGAAGGGGAAGGACGAAGAGAGCGCGTATTCAGATGGCACCAAATTACTTTATTTTCATGCAACATATGTATGTTAATGTATGCAACTTTGAGAAAGAGTGGGGCTTAGATCAAATTCGCCCCGGGCGTACATTTTACTTATCACGGCCTCTCTCAAGAAGATATTCTACAAGACAGTCAAATGTTAGAATAATATATATATATAATCGTTTTTCGTATGAATCCTTTCAAAGCATACCCAAGATTTTAAGATTTCATGAGATGCTTTCGTAATCAAAACTTATTTTATTTCATTTCAAATTCACTCTTTTTTGTCCCATGATATTAAGTATTATAAGCGGTGGTAAAAAGTGATCCCATGGGGAAAGAACTAAAATTAATGCAGATGGGCCATGAGAGAGCCAAAGTCAAGTAATGTGGGTCAAATTAAAAGGAAATGCTTGCAGTGGCCGAATAGGATACCCACAGCGGCAGAAAGAGAGGTAGACCGAGCAACAAGGAGACTGTTGACTAGGAGATAAGAAAGTACCGGGATCATGCAGGGAAGAAATGAAACGACCTTACAGCCTAGAATAGGGATAGCCAAACTGTGACACACGTGCCGCCACACTGGGCACGCTGAGCACTCTTAAAGTTTTGTATTTTTAAAATTAATTTTATTGTTGGTCTAATTTAGAACCTCAGTATTCAGGTTTAAATTGCAGCGTTACCACTATGCGATATAAAGAAGTGGGCTTTCATTTTTGGTTTAGGAAATTGTTGTCAAGTTCCACCATCACTTGCCCGGGACATAATGGATTGGGGAAAATCCCCATTCTGTACTGAATCTTTCCAGCAACAGGAACTAGACGGTATCCTACATTAAGACCGCGCTTTATTTGCTCAATTTCACGGGTTGCTGTAAGGCACAATAGAACCGATGGTTCGTGCACCCATTTGACAATTTCTAGCAGTCGGCTTTATTTCAAATATATGTGGAGAGCCGGAGGGAGGAGTAGAGGCGCATTTACGCCCCATATAGAGGAGTAGCTTAGATGTGTGATGATTTCTCTGGTGTGTGTTGATTGATTGGAACTGTAGTGGCAAGGTAATGGTGGTGGTGGTGGTGTTAATGTGGTGAGTAATGGTAGCATTAATGGAAAGGCACGTCTCTCCATTTGTCAGAGTGTCTGAATGATGCTCGCACTTGAAATGACGTTTTGTATGGTGGTCTGATTCATGGCTTGGAATGGTCTCATTCATGGCTTGGAATGGTCTCATTCATGGCTTGGAATGGTCTCATTCATGGCTTGGAATGGCCTCATTCATGGCTTGGAATGGTCTCATTCATGGCTTGGAACTGTCTCCTTCATGGCTTGGAATGGTTGATTTTGGCTTTGGAAGTCTTGATGTGTTAGGAATTGCTGCCATTAAATGTAGTCCACATATGAAATTCTGGGTGGTAGTCTTGATGATGTTGTGGATCTTAGATATAAAATTTCACATATGACAACTTGATTTGAAATTCACTCAGAGATTTGATAGCCGCGTTGATGCAATATCTTTTAGATAAATCTATGCACATAAATAGCAGTGGTGTCTCGTGACTTAAGTTAGTGGGGGTGCTGCGTCAGAAATGTTATTTCTTGTAACATTGTGCCAAACGAAATACATAGACGAAGAGAAAGGACAAGTAAACGTGACTATACAAGCCTGGGAAATGCATAGACGAAGAGAAAGAGAGGTCCGCTGGGACGAGCACATTAACAGTGTGTGCAACCGGGCAAACAAGACCCTGGGGTTCCTAAGGCGCAATCTGAAGATCGGCAACTCAAGCGTGAAAGAAAAAGCCTATAAAGCCTTTGTCCGACCTATTTTAGAGTATGCTTCTACAGTCTGGGACCCATTTACCCAGAAAAGCATAGACAGGTTGGAGGCGGTCCAGCGACGGGCAGCACGCTTTGTCATGAACCGCTACAGAAGCACCTCGAGTGTTGGCAGCATGCTGGAAACACTGGGCTGGTCGACATTGGAAGAACGACGACGACTATCCAGGCTCACCATGTTGTACAAGATAACAAATGGACTGGTGCACTGCTCCGGAATCAAACAGAAACTCGTTAATCTTCCCCCCAGACTGCGACGAAGTCACGACAAACAGTTCCGGCTGGTAAAAACAAGAACGAAGTACAGAAGCTCCTCATTCCTGCCGAAGACAATAGGGGACTGGAACAAGCTTCCAAAAGCAACAGTTGAGGCGGCTACACTCGATACATTTGTGTCTATTGCCTCCTGTATTCCAACCCCCAGTTCATAAAACCACTGCTGAGTCGCCCTTGCAACCAGTGAAGTATCCCATTGAAACCCATGGACAGTAACATCGCAAACCTCTCTGAAACATAGGAGCCAGAATGATCAATTCATTGATCGTGGGCCCTTAAAATAAAGAAGAAGAAGAAGAAGAAAGGACAAGTAAACGTAACTATACAAGCCTGGGAAATACATAGACGAAGAGAAAGGACAAGTGAACGTAACTATACAAGCCTGGGAAATACATAGACGAAGAGAAAGGACAAGTAAACGTAACTATACAAGCCTGGGAAATACACAGACGAAGAGAAAGGACAAGTAAACGTAACTGTACAAGCCTGGCGGGAGATAACTTATCTCAGGCCGCGTATCATTGCACCTAATAAATATAATAAACACTGAATAACGAATGCTGTACAGAATTATTGATTTATTATAAATGTGCATGATGAAATGTAAAATAACCAAAACAAAATGAAATAATAATGTGTTGGTTGTATAAATAATATGATAGTTATATAAATAATGGGATAATTGTATAAAATAATGGGATACTTGTATAAATAATGTGATAGTTGTATATGTCTCATCATATTTAACTTCTTAAACTTCATTTATTTCTTTGTGCGCTGAATGAAGGAAGAAAAGTTGCTAGGCACATCCAAAGTGCCAGGCCGTAGGGGTTACACAGGTTCTGAACAAACGTCTGGACTTTGGTTACCTCTAAATGTTGATAGTACTTGAAGAGCACCAATAGCTCAAAGTATGGTATTAGGTAAAGATTGAGCACGACTTATGAAAAGCATATGTAGGCCTACCAACACAAACGTCAACGGTTTAAACAAAAGTTGTCATTTCGACGTTCTGCTCATCAAAAACTGACCGGTCAACGCACGAGGTGGGGTGGGGGGGGGGTGGGGAGTAATGGACATTGAAGCAAAGGTGATGTCCCAGACAATGTAGAGACTTTTGGCTCATTCGCAGATATACCTAGATGATCGTCTCGTTAAAATATATGCGCTTGATATTTCAGTAAATGCCAATATAATATCAATATATGTCTCTGACATGGATATTAAAATAATAAATAATACCATAACATTTCTAAATAGTTTCCATCGTCCTAGAGGAGAATGGGAAATAAACGTTATTTTAACAAAGGCAATCTTTCCTTTTGGAATGCTCTTAAAAGAATGAAATGATGACGTTCGGTTACCTTGACTCTCTGGGGCAGTCCATTCACTGTGATGCATCGCAACTATGAAATGCCATCTTGGGACGTAATCAGTAGTATTCGATTTACTTATAACTTTTCTGTTGGCCCCAACCATTTCATTTTCTCTTTGAAATGCTGTTGTAAAACCCAATAAATGTCACAGATACCTAAGATCAGCTCGATCAGGGCGAATTCTTTCTCTTAAAGTTAGGGTCGAATGATATAAATAATGTTTTGTTCCTCATTCTGTTCGAAGTTACCAGCATGCTCCCCAAAGGTTGCCAAATCTAAATAATCACTAATTAAGTCATTATGTCACTAATTAATTAATTACTGTCACTAATTAAGTAATTACTATCACTAATTAATTCATTATTGTAACCAATTAATTCATTACTGTCACTAATTAAGTCATTATTGTCACTAATTAATTCATTACTGTAACTAATTAAATCATTACTGTCACAAATTAAATCATTATTGTAACTAATATAGTCATTATTGTAACTAATTTAGTCATTATTGTCACTAATTCAGTCATTATTGTCACTAATTGAGTCATTATTGTCACTAATTCAGTCATTATTGTCACTAATTCAGTCATTATTGTCACTAATTCAGTCATTATTGTCGATAATTAAGTCATTAGTTTCACTACATCAATTTATTGATTACTAATTTCAACACTTCAAAAAATACTTTAGATGTATTTTATTTAAAGTGTCTTAATTTTATTTGTAGCATATTTTTTAGGATGTCAAGGTGATGGTAAAGTCTTTCCGCTAGATTCTAATAGTACGATGGCATCCTCGGTACTTCTGGCACTGGTGGGGGGAGGAGGGGGGGGTCAAGTTTTTGTTGTATGTCATTTAAAATGTATCTGAGGATAAGTTTCTCAAACTATTTCATTAAGATAGAGGTAACTAAGACGGGACGTAAGTCGTGACTTAATTTCTGCTTGGAATCTGTATATTTCTGAAGTTTCATAAGATTTATTTAAATATGTAGCAAAAATGTAGGAGAGCTGTTCTGAGCAGAGATGACCGAGTCGTCCACTTACATTGTCTGGCCCCGAGGCCTTGGCTTCATTCACGTGTTTCAATAACGACATCGCGTCCTGTTCAGCGTTTTAGATTAA